TGCCAGCATGCTTTGCTGATATCCAGCGATGTATGTTGGAAGCAGCTTATCCACATAGTTTCTATCAAGTGCACGTCACTTCCGGTGACACGCCTACCCCAACTCACCGATATCGACTATATATAAAACGCTATGTCTGTATGTGTGTGTCACGAAATTCATAGTGCGCGTCGCAGCAGTCGTCAGGAGCTGATTTTGGGACATGATATAGGGGGTGGGACGGGAACATATTTGGTGGGGGTCAAAAAGTGATAACGACTGATGAGGACTGATAGTAACGATATGCGTACGAACGTAGAGAGCACTTGAAACCAGATTGTAGATAATGCATTTCATTTCAATATCATTTCATCAGCGTTGTAATTGTAAACTCAAACCTTTCGACCGCTACACCTTCTAGAGTTCTTGAGGATGAATGGGATGCTCGAATAAATATGATAATGAATACTAGGCATTCCGTTTTGAGATATTCGACCGCTAAATTACCTCGATACTCGACGCATAGTGGTTGTTTACATCATCACTTTAGCTGTGCACTTCACTGCGCTTATCAAACAGTGAGATACAGCCAAATTCTGATATCCAATGCATGGTGACTGTTTACGGGCACCACTTGGAGCGTTCATAGTTGGCGATCGTACGTGCGATTAGGCGATTAGGCGATGATTCAAAATGAAAAGTATACGAATCGATTAGGCGATTAGGCGATTAGGCGATTAGGCGATTAGGCGATAGGCGAAAGAAAAGGATACGTATCGATTAGGCGAGTAGGCGAGTAGGCGAGTAGGCGAGTAGGCGATAAGAGAGGATACGTATTGATTTGTTGCTCCGCCCATTGAGCGATCGCCTAATCGCCTACTCGCCTACTCGCCTAATCGCCTATACGTATATTTTCCATTATAGACTAATCGCGTACGATCGCCAACTATGAACGCTCCATTAGCTCGCACTCCAGCCGCGCGTATCAGACGGTGAGCATAAGAAATGGGCACCTATAGAACGGCCAGCTAAGGCATTCGACTTATTGTTTAGCGGCGAAATCTAACGCTCCACCGGCTGTCCAGTTTTACCGAGCCCTTCCGTGTCATGCACGCAGTAGTGTGCGGAGCTAAACTGGTTCCATGACATCGTGGAATTGACGAGTTTTGGTTGAGCTAGCTCGAGACTTGATTAGTTATCAAAAGGAGTCGGACGTCAAGGTATCTGTGATCCTTTACTCTGTAGTGCATTCTATTTACATTGACACTAAATTACTACAGTACATGTTGGTCGCTGAGAGTCTGCGTCTCTGGCTTCTCGCCTCACGGCGGGACTCCTGTCGGTACCCTGGATCCCCTTACCCGCCCAAGGCTAAGCCCTGGGTGTCCCCCAAGAGGCCCGTCGCGCGGCGAAGGAAGAGACGCAGAAGGACGAGTCGCAGCGCGTGCTGTGCGATATGAGACGTAGTATGGTACACTCTATTTAACCTGACGCCTAACCGCTACAGTATGCGCTGCGACTCGTCCTTTGCCGCGTCTGCGTCTCTTCCTTCGCCGCGCGACGGGCCTCTTGGGGACACCCCTCAGCCCTTTCAACAACAGAGACACATGTTCTAGGTACTTTCGAATACTTCGCCACTAGAATACCACTGTATTTTGTGATATCTCCTAAAATTCCCTGTCAATGAAATCACCCTTTTACATGGCATATGTTATTGTTGATGGTAATTACTTAAAGCGACTCTTGGATAATTCTATTAGGTTGGTCCATAAGTCTTGCAACAAATTACATTTAATGCTAGAAAATTTGAGAACTCCGAAAATTCCGCAACATGTTGTTGACGTAGCATCCACCTTTGCAATTTCAGCCAACCGTCCAGCTCGTTGTCTCGCTACTTGTTATGGATATTACACCGATTTCGCGAAAAGCTCTTCGTGCCTTGCTCTTCGTGCCTTGTAAAAATCAAGAGCCTGAATTTTTACGAGTACTGCTTGGAATGTTCCGCAAGTCATGCTACACCAAGGATTAGCCAGAAGATGGGCGAGGGCACGCTCTCTCAATTCACGGTGCACCGGCGCTTCACTCTGCTCAGCGTTGACTTTTTTATTTGAAATGATCCACATCCCAACCACCCCATGACTCGCAGTCAAGGGCAACCTTCACGTTGGACAAATTTCAAAAATTTTACGCCTCCCTCCCCCTTCTGGAGGGCCTCGAAACGACCCCCAACCCCACCCACACCATTTGATGGTCTAAAAGGAATAAATTAAATTTGATTCAGCGTTACAGAATATAAGTAGAACTTGCGGGGAACCGAATCGCACGGGAGCGTTGCGTTCGCATTGGCCACGCAACAGAGAGTTTTCAAATACGCCAAGTAGATTTTTAAAGCCACGAGTCAAGGCTCAGGGGCCATAGGAGGTCTTTCCATCACCTATATTTTCAGGAATGCGCTCAGAGGGGCGATGCCACACCCCTGAATCGAAAAGGCGCGGCGGAAAGACCCCCGGCCTACTATTTACAGCGGTGCGTTTCAGAACCTCAGGCGGTCCGCCACAAACGGGGAGTGGTCGTGGCTCGCATGCGGCGGATCCCTGCGTTTGTTGGAGCGTGGCGTATTGATTAATAATCCGTGATCATCATCCGTTTAGCACACATGATGTCTGCGCTCCTTTGGTTTTTACGAAGTCCCATCGCTGCGTCATGGTTCACTTCTTTCTTTGTCAATTTCTCTTCATTAAGTTATCGTTTTTACACAAAGAAGCAGTATTTTTGAAATCTCCAAAAACTTGGTCCCAAGGCCCAGTCGAGGCATAGGTTGACATGAGGAAGCTTTTACCCTGATTTTCTGGTCCGTCCGGTGATCTCCTGCCCATTTCTTCACGTACGAGCATGCAGGGATCTTGCTCTTTTGTCACAAAACCTCATTTATTCAGTCCATGGGCCAATCAGTGTATCGACTAATGAAGGGAAATATGTGGGAACTATGTACGAGGTCTTTTCTAGCTGATTCAGAGCTTGAAATAGTGCCCTTTTTTGGAAAAATAGTTGACATATTGATCAGAAAAGAAATGAGAGTTATCATTTAGACCCTCCGAATTTCCATTGTATTGGGCAAAAATTGGTTTGTATACGTGTTTGTCAATCACGAAAGGTGGACGCCGGTTTTTCACTCTGTTGCGCATGGTGTGTGCATCTTAGTTGTAGTGACAAGAATTGTTTATGAATCTCATTCAGAATCTCTAACGAATTCATATTGATTCAGTGTAGATTTCAGCTCAGAAATTGGAAATCGTACGGGTGACGCAACAGCTGATCGACGCTATTTCATGCAAGGATTTCGATGTCTACACGTAAGCTTTAGATTGCGGAATCATTAGCTTTACAATCGATTATTCTGGTTTGATGTGATTGATGATCGATGAAACTCCCTGTTAAAATTCCAGTCGTCTTATTTACATGAATAATCATTAGAATAGAAAGTGGAATAACTGCTTCACGTGTCTCCTCCAAACCGTCCCAGTCAAGTTGCTGGAAAAACATTTCAGCACATACAAACATCAACAAAAACACACACACAAAACATCAACAAGCTTCTAGAAAGGAAATAAGTCAATGTGAGTAAAGCAAATAAGAAAAATGGAAAAATACAAACCGTAAAATACCCTTCGATCAGTGAGCTTGTCCGAAAGTTCACTGGCTACTTCCTGAAACACATAAGAATGAAGAACGAAAAGAAAAAACATCGAATGAAAACAAGAAAGAGCACATAAAGCGGAATTAAGACTAAACAACAGCGAAACCTAAAAATAATCAGCTGACTAAGGTGTATTGATTTCCCTATCCACCGCTGGCTTGATGCCACCGATGTCCGGACAACTCGTCCGGACATCTCGCTCAGCTATACCCGCCTCCTTCGTTGCCGTTGGACAGGGGGGTCCCATATTTGGCCTCCTTAACGTTTTCTTTTCGTTTTTTCTTCACTATTGTTCCACTTCCCATCTCTACACTCAATTTCAGGCGCCATAATGCCCACACGAGCCTGACTTTTGCCTTTAATCCACGTGACCGCTAGTTTCAGATAGCCACCACGCTTATGCAGTATCTCCAGAACTCTTTTAGTTATGGGGTAGAGAATTAAGAATTCACAGAAATGCGCACTTCTTCCTTTGAAAGGTTGTAATTTCTTTCGGAGCAGCTCTTCTGGATACACGAGTTATCATCACTCAAACAGTTACAGCTCTCTCCAGACTCGCATTTCTCTGTGGATTCAATCCTCCCTGGTCTGCCCTGAGGCTTAGCCCCGAGGGATGGGGAGGGAGGTGAATACTGGGTGTGTTGTGGTCTCCGCTCAACGATTCACCCGTTGGCGCTCATGTCGTTAGAGGAACACATTCAAGTCAGTGGGCCTATTCTTGGGGTTAGGCCTTAGCCAGGGGAATGGATTCACAGGTAGTATTTGAGCAATGTGTTTTTTCTCCCTGGCGTTTCTCCCCTCTTCTGGGCTGTCTGTCACCTACCGCGATGTCCCCCCAAGCACACCACCTCTCCACACCTACACCTATTTCTCTTACCCTTCTCTAACCCCTTCTCCTATACCAACGATGATTCGAAGTCAGTGCGTATGCTCAAAGTGCGCAACTAGAAAGGGCATGACCAGACCACACCAACCATTGCCATCATTCCATGGCAAGTTGGACATCTCTTGACTTCGTAGGTAGCTACCAAAAAATTCCCATCACTTCCTACGCTTTGGGTTCGAATGGTTTCGCCGATCTTGAATGTTTCATATATTTGAATCCAGGAACTTACAAATCGAATTGATCTAATTTTAATGTCATTCTAACCTGATTGCTTGTGATTACTGAGCGTATGCTAATCGATCTGTTGTATATATGAGCGACAAATGTGAGTGTGCATCTGATGGGGCATCTTTATTGCAATCACGGTGGCTCTCGAATAACATCCCATTGCAGATATTTCAACCCCTTTATTACAAAACGTCGATAAATTAGGGGTAATTATTCCTGCACCAGCAGTGGCAGCACCATCATTTCCGTGCTTCTTCCTTGGTTGAACACTTCACGTGATGGTGTCTCGCCATCCTCGGCCTGAAATAAGCGCAGCGATTGCTCTGGATACACCAGCTACCGTGTTCATTAAACGAACGAAAACAGACCTTAGTAGTGACGAGAACAATCTTATAATTCTGGCCACCGTTTTGTCGAGGAGTCGTCTCGACGACTTCCCGGCTCAACCACGTGCCAACCACAGTTCAGGGCAGCCATAACACAAGTGGTGTCCGAAGCAAGTTCAGCTTGCGAAGCATCATATATGCACGTCAGTCGATGGGCTTCCCATCCTCTAGCAACATAACCACCACTCGCCTTGAAGAATTTGCGCTCCTGGGTATCGTTGACGACGTTCACTCCCTTCAGTCCTCCGATTGCCTTGTAGCTCAACTCGCAAGGCTCCACACGAAGCTCAGACGGTTTAGCTTCAAATCAAACATGGACTTGATAAAAGTCTTTCTTTCGCATGACAACAGCCTCAATCGAGGGGACCTTTCACCACAATACCGCCCGGCACCCATGTTGTGGAGTGGTGTGAGCGGGGGGGGCGTTTCAAGTGACGAGCCGCTCCCTGGTTCTAGGCTTTAGGGAGGTGAGGGATACTCCGAGAGTGGCGGCGATTTTGTTTTCTCTGGCTTCCCTCTGGGGAGGGGGAAACAATTCAAAGTTAATGAGCTGATTACCGTGCTTGGTACCAAACCTTAGGCAGGGAAAGGGATTCTGGCGTAGGATGTGGGCAATGTATGTGTTCTCCCTGGCGTTTCCTGCCTCTCTGGGCTTACCATTAGGCCAGTGTCCTGAGATCGGTCTGTTTGTGATGTCGCCCCCCAGGGACACTGAGCTTAGTCCATGCCGCATACAAATGAGAGCATTTTGAGTAGACCCGATTTGGAAATGTCCCCACCCATCCCTCGCCTCCGCCCTTATAAGCAGTGTGTTCAGCAATGGAGTAATATGGAATATTAGGGCGAAAACAAAGATCATCTAGCATCATTTTAGAAGTACGACATGTTCAGTAGAAGGCAGCTGAACCCTGTGAATACCAATTAGCATATAGTCTTCAAAAGAATATGAACCGCGGAAATATAACCCATATAACGCTTCCGCCTAATTCCATTCACAGAGTGAGTTCCCGGTCCAAAAGCTGACCGGGGAGAATTTAGCAATTGAACAACTTTACCACCTGGAAGCGATAATAAAGCAACGCCTGAAAATAGAAAGAACATTTGATTTCATCAACAAGAACAAGAAGTTGTTGAGCAGCTTCACAGTTTAGGTTGCCTGTCCACATGTAGCGTCACGACAATCAATCGGTCCACCTTTACCAACTAATAGGGGGATGGGTTCGGTTAAAGTACGAAAGCAGTACGAAACCGTTAAGACTTATTATTAGCAGGCTTTGGCCGGACATTCAGGGATGGAGACCATCGTTATCCATCACGCACCCCCACCCTACCAAACCCGCTCGCGGTCATCATTAGAGCCACCATGAGAATTCAATAGAACAGAGTGGAATTAAAGTACAACTAACAATGGATGGTAGTAAATAAATAATTGCGAAACTGATCCTCATTCGGCTACCCCGCGTGCGATGCCGCACATCAAAGAGAAAGCTGTTCGCATTTGGCCTTGTTGTTACGAAGGATTATGCACTACTCCAAAAAGCGCCATAGATTTTGAAGTGGTTCTCAGCCCAGCCTCGTCTCCATCAGTACTTCACAAAGCGGACGACTACGGCTCGAGAAGGTGTACTGGTAAAAAGACGCTCGTTCGCACTCCACAAACCCCCCTAACAAGCAAGAAATAAAACTGCTCGACTTCGACCTGCGAACACAGATGCTCGTTTCCTAAAAAGTGTTAATGAACTATAATAGAAACGAAACTCAAGCAGAGCGTTGAATAAAAAGTGATGGAACTAACGAATAAAAAACAATGCTCCTTCCTGCTTCTTGCTCTTGAAGACTGAAATAAACTAATAAGCATCGGAGTAGAATGTACACACACTATTTTAGCTGTCTAAAGTGCACCTCACATACTAAAGGACTTGCCTCCAACACTTCTAAAACCAATATCTCCTCACTACATACCAGCGCGGCGAGACTTCGACCTTTTAGATTTAGACCTCCTGGATTTCCTAGATCTGCCACTCTTCGACGACTTCGATCTTCCTCTCCTGCTCTTCCTGCTCCTGCTTCCCTTGCTACGACGAGACTTGCTACGACTTGATCGAGACGATTTCCCCTTATGCCTTTTCGACCTCCCAGACTTCGACCCTCCCGACCTCGAAGACTTGCCGGACTTGCCGGCCGCGCCTCGTTTCTGAAGTTGCATCAGATTCAGATCAAAGCACAAAAGGATCAGTAACCATACCCACTGACCTTACCGCATCCGTATAGAGCAACTGCCCCAGCGGGCACGGCGAGCAACCAATACATATATGCTGCACCACCCCATGATGGCTCGTTTATAAATGAGATCTTATCCGGATGATTACACGGGAATCACTCCTCGTTTACAACCGCCCCTTCGTGCATCAGTGTTGATGATTGCTGTCGAGTTTTATGAAGCTGCACGAATCGGGAGAGAAGCGGTCTTCTAAACGTGGTGGTGAGCTCGTAGGTAGCTGTGAACTTTTACCTTCCATCTGATTTCGTATTCTGAGTTTATTACAACTCCAAATGCTCCCACTGCAAGCTCTGAAAGTCCGTTGATCGCACCATAATGGCAAGAAGAATCGGCCTCAAATACTTGCACACTCCTCTGAGAACCTGTGGTTCAGCAAACGTGGCAAAGCAAGTTTATTATAGGGCTATCTGCATAAGGATGGGGTGCTGATGTGATTAAGAGATCTGATGGAGACTTCAACACGTCCAGCATTTTTCCTCCCAGTTCCTCCCTATTACTAACGGTTAAGGGGAAGCTATGAGAGGGAGTTGCACTGGTGTCGTAGGGTGCTGACTGAGCTCAGGAGGAAGAGAGGAACTTCGGAGAAGATGAAAATTGCCTACGCACCCTTGCCTAACTCCCATGAAGCTACTCCTAGGGGGAACTAAGGAGGGTGGAAGGGTATGGCTCTATGGACTCTGCATATACTGAGAAGACAGAAGAAACTTTGGATGAAAGGTGCTCAAACACCTCCTTTTCTAGTCCTTTGAGGCCTAGTCCTGGGAGGACGAAAGTAAGGATGGGTGTTGACTCACCCATCCTTACTCTGGTCTTACTTTGGCTCCGTGCATAAGCACCCGACGACAACACCGCCCAAATCTTCAAAGCACACAGAGTTCCTTTTCCCATTCTCAGTCTTAAGAAGAGACCACTCGGGAGGAACCAAATCGCACCCTCAAGGCTCAATCCTCCGAATTGCTCATCCCCTGGCTCACGAATTTCTTCCTTGCACCATCCTAAATAAAAACTCGCATAATCAAAGAAGTGGAGTAGGAATGAAGGCGCTGCATTTTCAAAACTCTAGCGACGCTCGTGGCTCGAAATCGCTTATGTGAAGGCTAGAATCATAAGGTTGCGTGTCGGTTAGGGGAATGAGTGAATAAGAGAGTAGACGACTGGGTAATTAGGCTAGTAGGCGAACACATATCAGTCTAGTTCGCCCCGCTCACTGAGCGATCCCTTGATCGTTTACTCGCCTAATCGATACGTATCTTTTCCTTATCGCTTGATCGACCAATGCCTAAATTCTGTATCGTGAACTCTGAATAGCACGTGAAGGATTATTGAACAAAAATCAGTTAAAGAGCACACAAATTGTGTCACCTCGCAATCGATGATCGCCCTCCCCCTATCCAAATAACCAATGATAGCTGTGTGCTGAAGCAACTCTTCCTTGGCCAGTTTCTTCTCAGATAATGAATTACTTCTTGGCCACAGGGTAGGTCCTATCGTTGGGTACTGGTTTTCCAAAATTTATAAACGACCCCCATCCCTCCAAACTCAATGAGTACACCACCGCGTTGTACTGCATACATAGGCTTCGACCCTGCTTGCGCCACACATAATTCGGTCCATAGGGAAAGCAAGTGGCCCATATCTACAAGGTGAAACGGGCCCCTCTCACTGCTACGGTCCTGAATGGACTGCTATTACCGCTCATTCCCACAACGGTTCCCTGGACTAGCCGTCAAAGCACCCATGAGGCAATTCTGGCCATTGGATATCTGTTGTGGTCGCCTCATATATCCCTGAGTAGATTTGAATTTCCTGTAACGGACGTTAACCACGTCAATTGATCAAGCGCGAAGAAATGAAGAATATCAGGCTCCTTTTTTGACAAGCTAATGGCAAAGCCAGAGCCAGCACAGGACAAGGCTGGTTTTGACTTTGGCATTTTCTGTCGACCATGAATTATCTCATGAAAGCAAAACCAGTCCCGAGGTGACCTTAGATGTCCTCTCATGAGCAGAAGCAGGCCCTTCTTCATTGCTTTCGCCGCTCAGAATATGACGTCATCTGCCACCATCGTCAAGCTCAAGGAGGACTACCGTTATCGCTCCAGCCTGAAACTGATCCATAATTTCTTCAATCGATATTACCAATTGATAGCTTCTTAGGGACAGTGCTCAGTCTATGCAAGACCACTTCTGACTAGCGACTCATAAAATGTCGTAATGGTCACGATCCGTCGAGGACCTCGCTGAGCTCTAACCTTACACCATATTCCCGTGGAAAAATCTTCTGGTCGTCGGTGTAGATGATTGTTACGAAGTTTTTGATGAATCAGAATGCGCTCTTCAATTTGCAGTCGAGTTGTATTTACGAGCTTTTTGTATTTAGCAATGTTACTAATGCTGTTTTACATATGAAGGAGCGTCTCTATTTTCCCCTCCCGTACATTCAAAGTGAACTGATCATGCGACTTTCACATATGAGCGAGAAGAACTCCACCTCCACACGGAAGTTCTGTTCCGAACTGAACACCATAGGCCAACAATCATTCAGAGGCGACGTTACCAGGAAAAGGCGGCTCTCTCCCACGATCATTAGCGCACAAAATCACTGCAAGCATCAAAAAGAGAACCCTAAGATATGACTGCGCCTGCTTCAGTTCAAGAGCAAAGTCTAATGGAGCGTTTATAGTTGGCGATCGTACGTGCGATTAGGCGAGTAGGCGATAAGGGAGGATACGTATTGATTTGTTGCTCCACCCATTGAGCGATCGCCTAATGCTCTTTTGCCTCGCCTACAACGCTCTAAGGGCGGAGCAAATCAATCAATACGTATGTACGTATCAATATGTAGTCTTCACCGCCTAATCGACAAACTCGCTTGATCGCCTGCTCGCCTACTCGCCTAATCACCTAATCGCCTAATCACACGTACGATCGCCAACTATGAACGCTCCATAAGAATCATTGGCGGAAATGGAAGAACAAAATTCAGATATGAGCACGCTGCCGAATTGAAAATGAGTGTCATTTGTACAACAAACAGCTTCACGACCTACAGCAGCGATGTATGCTCTGTAGATGCAGTTGTTTTGAGGTGATCATGGCGTGCTGAGAAAGCGTTTGTATTACTCGAAACAGCTGTAACAGCACTAACCTAGTTGTTTCAGGTGAATGCCTCCCGCCGAACTCGTTTCTATTCCTGACGATGCTGTCCCACATTTTCTTCTTACCATTAGCCGTTGTCTTTATTGTAGGCCAGATTGGTCATCCTGTAACCGCAGGAACCTCCACATTCCCTGCGTTTCCCTTCATTGTGGGATTAAATCCTTGGAGAAGACGCGTATGCGCGAAAAGGTGTTTCATAAGAACATCATAGCAATCATGAGACGTTATAATGACATCTCAGTACTTAATTGATCATCAGGGCAATGGTTTTATTCTTCCTCACCTCATCTTTTCCTCCCTCTACTGCTCTCCAGTTTATTATTTGATGGGTGGCTTACCCATGTTCGCACGTCCCGAGACCCCTTCCCCTAAATATAGCCACACCAGTTTAGCTCCGCACGCAAGCCGCGCGCATCAAATGGTGAGGCTTTAGTGAAACTGGACAACTTGCAGAATATTAGGTCACGTGGCTGAGAAACTA